TAAATAATTTAATTTTAAAATTAAGTTTTAAAATTTTTATTATAATAATTTTTTAAAAATTCTTTAATATTTTATTTTACGTACTAATTGAATTACTTTATCATAGTGTTAGCAAATGATCTTGAAATGACCTTGAAATAATACTTCAAACAATATGAGTCGACCCAGATTAGTTTAACCTGATTTGACTTTTAAGTCAGATCAGTATTATGAATTTTGATAGCTTGTGACCTGCATGATCTGACCTAATAGGTTAGTTATTCATCTTCTTGACCCAGGTTTTGACCTGAATTAACCTAACAATTATTAGTTTATTTTGATTATATTGATTAAATATTCTTTAAATTTTAGGAAAAAGAAAATCTGGTTTCATAAAATTGGTAATTCTAATATAACTAATCTTTGGTATCATGCAGAGTTCATCATCTAGGAAAAGATTCAAAACCAAACAAAAAAGCAAATAAATTAGTAGCAGAAGGTCAAAATACATTAGATAAATTTGTAGATCAGAAATTAATTCTTTCTAAAGCAAGTATAATTGAATAATTATAATTTTATATAAGTTATAAAATTAAAAAACAATTTAGATTTCTTGATTATTATTTTTTTATTTACTTTATTCTTCTTCTCAAGTTTGCATAAACAGACTTTTTAAGTTTTTTACTAAATGGATAATTGCTGATGATCAATCATTCACAACAGCATAAAATAAGGATTTTTGAAATATAATAAAGATATTTAATTCAGATACACTGGTTCCTAAAGCAAATATAATCAAAAATGATATAATGGAAAGTTTTAAAAAGAAATGAAATAAAGAAAAATTTTGGTAGCTACCAAAAGATGCAGTCTTAATTAAAATACAATTAATACATATATGTACTTGAAGTCTTGGCAAGCATAAAATAAATTTTTGTTAATTAATAAATTTTGAATTTTAATGCTAATATTAATTAAATATACATTGTTAGCTTAAACGGTTCGTCGTTAAGTTAACTAAGATTATTTGCTAACAGGGAGTTTAAGTGCGTCTAAGAAATAAACATGGATTAATTATGTTGAAGGGTCAGATCGTCTTTATCGATATAGATTTAAAGAAGTATGAAATTGTATATTGAGCAAAGATAAGTTTCAGAGATAAATATTATTGATTTATTAGAGAATTGTAGCGACTCTGCCATTTATTGAGGCAGAAATACAAGATATTTATATAAAATACATCAATATGAAATAGATATTTAATATAGTAAAGAAAAATAAGAAATATAATATAAATAAGAAATTAAAGATATATAAGATATATAAGAAATTATAGATCGCTAAGATCGTTAAGAAATTAGAGAAATGATAGAAATCATAGAAATTAGAGAAAGTTGAGATTCAAGATCGATGGAATCATCATTCGCTAATTGTAATTGGCGCAGTACTAATGCGTCATAACTAGACTATCACTAACAACGTCATGTGATTTAAAAAAAAATCATCTATATTTTTACTGAAACAATCTCACCTAAAACGAACCAAATCCTTCTTAAGTGGATGGTTTTAATACGCCAGATGAAAAAAGCAAAAGAGCTTATAATTAGACAAATGTTTAAAATTACTTTTTGAAAACTTACAAAATAAATTTTCTTATCAATTTTAGTGGATTCATTAGAAAGGTTAGCCAACCCTTCATTGATCGAAACCATGTTAGATTCCTAAACAAAATTTGATGAAGTATCAAATAAATTTGCCAAGTACTTAAGGAATACTGGAGGTTCTTTAAGTGATCTTGCTGGAAATGAACCATTTGCATTACCGAATACATTATGTTTTGGAATATTAGATCTCGTGCAAAATCTCATTCTAAAATTTACTCAACCGTATATACGTGGACTTTGCTAATATTTGGCGATTGAAGACATTGAGCAGCTTCATACAGTATAAAGCGATATATTTGCGAAATGTTGATAATGAGGATAAAACTGGAACCGGCCCAAAATCATTAATCGGTTAACAAGATAACGTCTTAACCAGTTAATTAACTGGTTAAAATTAACCGGTTCCAACAGATATAACTTGATTTTGATCAATCTGAAAATTAGCAAATAATTTTCTTCAGAAAAATTTCAAACCTTATTGACATTTGTTAAAGAAAAATATCTTCGAGACTTTCTTGTACAAAATTATGAGATTGAGGAAATAGAAAAAAGTTTGGAGAATGTTTTAATCTTTTAAAAGTTATTGCAGATGTGTATTTTGAAATAATTTAAAAAAATTAAGATAAAGAAAATGTCTTAAATGTCGAGAAAGTATTAAAGATAATATTAAATATTTATCAAAAAATATTATTTACAAAAATCTACCTTCAATTGAATTAGAAGATTCAAACCAGATAAATACAAATCTATATATTAACTAAAAAAGATAGATTAGTTAAATCAAATTGGATATAAATAGAATACTATCAATTTTTAAAATTAATAACTCCCAGTTTACCGGAATGTAATAAAAGAATTAAAGATAAACTTATGAAAAAGCTATAATCATCTGTCAAGAATAATATGAGTTGTATTTTAGCTTATACATGCAGATGACTTGAAAATTATAAATAAGCAGTTTCTTATTTCAATTAAGCTAAAGAGTTAAAGAAAACAATCCAATTGCATCATGTATTCTTGGAAAAAAATTTCAGACAAGGTTGCTATAAATGCGATAACGGTACGATATTGGAAAACTCAAAGGGATGTAATACTAAATCAAACATAATCATGAGAATTATTATGATAAAGCGTAAAAATAGCATTACAAAATGATCCAAAGAACTTGAGAGTTTGCACATAAATTTACAAGACGCATAAAAAATATTTCAATGCTTTAGATATGAATTATTTGGAAAGATATAATGATTCAATATTATATTTAACAAGTGCAGATAATGTAGACCCTGAAAATATTCATAATTTAATTAAGCGAACCATTACTTATTAATTACTTCAAGATGTTAATGCTCTATAAAGTTAAATTCTAAAAATAGTTTTGCACATTAAAATATTTCGTCATAAATTTTGCAAAATTATTATTAGCATCAAATAATGAAATACATATTTTAGCTTCTTTCTTAGATTGAAATTATTCCTATAGTAAAATATAATCATTTATTTACTAATTAATGAAAACAAATTTGTTTAAATAAAAGCATATTCACATTCAAGATTGTTGTTACATTTACTTGATTATTTTTAAATAATGGTGATTTTACTGAACTTTAAATTTTTTATGAATGTAAATTAGTAAGTAATTTTTTTTATCCCTTAATCTTTATTTTATAACAATGTTTATTTATTATATTATGTAAATGACGTATAATAAAACAAGCAGTTTTAGATATTGAGGTGATTTACTGTAAGTGAATCTGATTGATATTGACATTAAAGAATTATCAGAATTAATGGACTAGGTTGGATTGAATATAAGCTTCCGTTTAAAGTGCATCGAGGATTTGCTTCATTTTTAAAATTTAGAGTTGATGATCATTAGCAATACTCTGAATTTAACTTTAAAAAAAAATAGATTATGTTCGATTATTATATGTAAAATATGAAAGAGATTCAATTTATTTTGATAATCTCCAATCTATTTGTTTCATCCGAATGTTCCAAAAGTTTTTATGATAAGTATTTTTTAAAACGGCAAATGGATAATTGCTCCAAATCCAATTAATTTTTCTACACTAACTTGTGAAAAAAATAATATAAACCACTATAAATGCTTCTCCTTTTAAAGCTAAAACCTTTTTACTAACTACATACTTAGACAAAAGCAGTTAATGAAGTAATGTGAGATGAGGATACAATCAGAAGGACAGAAACTAAAGGGAAGCGATCACTATTTAACTAAACAATGGCCCTTTACCATCGTTAAAGGAGAAATAAAAATAAAAAAAGATACTTCCCATAAATAATTGCCCTATTATCCGTATCCGTTACAAAACAACACCTGGATATGAAAGTTAAACATTCTGTCGCTGAAATAACAAATTTTTGGTCTATAGAATGAACATCCGGGCATATATTTCGTGAATATTGTTGAGCTCACAACCAGAATGGAAAACAATTACAAACAAATATAACAAATATCTTGTCAATAGCGTGAAAATTGATGGAGGAGCGCTTTTATAAAAAAAAAAGCTAGAAGCAAGAGTTAAACAAGAAGCGACATTGTAAAGATAATTTTTTTAGCACAAATGAGGGGAAGATGTGAAGGAGGTGAAAGGAAGAGGGAGGGGAAGAGGAAAAAAACTGCTTAAATGTTTGAAAGAAAGAAAAAATGATGTATATTTTAAACTATCCCATATTTATTATTACTTAATTTAGCAAATATTAACGATTTATCCACAACTATTGCGTTTTGTCTCGCACGACAATAAAGCAGATATTATCCAAAAAATGCTTTTCCTACCTGAAGTGCGCAATATTCTTGTTTCCAAATTAATATATGATTGAAGGCTTTTTGGGGTCACCTAAAAATGAAAAATGTGTTCTGGGGTAGTTTTCCATGTATGTTATATTTAATATTTAAAACTTTCCAAAATTTTCATTACGTCTGATCTCATCTGACATGTACCATGTGATTTATTAATAAAAATAATAAAAATGTACACGTAAACAATTCTTCTCTCTCTCTTTGAGTTTTGAACTAAATCAGCCTGCTTTCGCGTTCCGTTATTTAATAATAATTTTAACATAATATCATTTTCAGATTTTTGCTCTCGCATTTGCAAAATTTCAAAATGCCTTGTCAACCAACGCGTCTTTTGTGTTTTGAAGTCAGGTTAATTTTTTTTTATTATTACTGGGTACGGTAAAATACAAATATCTCCTTCACTGTGGACGAAAGTGATTCTGTATTTGTTGGTACCATGAAGCTTTGAATGACAAGCAACTGAAGTATCGGGCTATTATTTTAGGTGGGTGTCATTTGAATTGGTCACTTGTCTGTTATTAACTTTGTGGGGTCTAGGGGAGCACAGTAAAAACATTATCATGTTCTAGTTCTTGGTGGTGTTTCTTGGTAGTGTCTCTTGGTGGGATTATCCTCTTGAGACTGTGATACAGTAAAAACATTGTCAAAGCATTGTCATGTCCTAAGTCTTGGTAATGTCTCTTGGTGGGATTATCCTCTTGAGACTGTGTAAAGCTATGTGCCCAATTTCTCTGAAGCTCGAGAGTAAGCTTTAGCAGAATAATACTGTTCGGTTGGCATCTGTTTGGATGTCAGACTCTCTTTCGATCGAATCTGGTCTAACCCTCCAACCTTTTTTTTTTTTTATTATTATTATCACTTAGAACATTGAACTCAAATATTACATCAGGAATATTTTAAAGATAATAAATTTCCAGAGCGTGCGACTTTCAATCCAACTTGCTATTACTTGATTTTTGAGGTATGAAAACCTGCATTTTACAATTCTTCGGTAGAACGTTTCTGATCATTAAGTTTTTTATTTTAATTAGATGGTTTTCAATAGTTGTCTGAAAGAATTTACAATAGAATTAAAAAACGTAAGATGGATCGACTTGTGGAAAAGGAATTACCTTGATCAGTCCCTATTTTTAGCAGAAATATATATACCAAATAGATACGAATAAAATTAGTTTTTGTATAATAATATCTTGATAATTTAAATTTATTTATTTTTTATTTTGTGAAAACGCATACTGTTCGTTAAAAAAGAAAATTTAAAATTTTTTGGGACGTTTTGCGTAAAAATAACCGTTAATATTTTGCTAATTTAACGTCAAAGTGTTAAATTTAATAAAATTTATACGATTTCGTCGCGAGAAACGCTGATTTATAGACTTTGGTCCTCTAAAAACAATCTATAATGTATCATTTATGACTATTAATCGCATGAAAATTTTTTTTTTTTAAGAAAGTTCGGAATTTCTAATCTAACGGATATTTTTATATCATTTGGGATGATAAAAACAAAATTGTCATTGTTATTAAGAATGCAAAAAAGTACGTCATATATATAGAAACTTCTATCCGAGTATGGTCATGATCTTTTGTATTGTGCATACTGCGCAGAGTGCGCAACGAAAATAACCGAAAACAATAAAATTCATGCTTATTTGGAATTATATATACAGTATATGATCATATTAAAATTTCCTTTTACATTAGAAAAGAGAAAAGGAAATATTTTTTATTATCTGTTACCAAAACCAAGCTGAATTCGAAATGTCAAAAAAGCCAAAAATGTGACAGACTTCACAATCATAAAAAAAAAATATTAATATTGCAATTTCACATTTATATCATAAGAATACTTATCAAAAAGCTAAAATATGACTGTGGATAACTTCGCAATTTTACATTCATAATAACTTAAAACTAAACTGAACTAAATTACATTCGCGTGATGTTGCAAACTATTAAACTCTTTAGAATTTTTTAATAATTCTATAACATATGGGAGCGTTTCAAGTCATGAGATATATAGTAAATCATATGATCCGAAATGTGATTTTACTAGAAATCCCATATATCAAGAAATATAAGTTTCAAATGCCCTGTTCCTTTTTGTGAACGAACATTCAACAACGCTTTAAATATAGTCAATATGCTTAAAAAACAGAAATAGAGTCCAATTCCATAAGCTAGATAAAAATTACAAAATAAATTTTATGGAAAATATTAACACCAAATATTAATTTTGAAAATTATTATAATGTAAGATCTTATAAATTCATAAGCTCAAAGCTCAATGAACAATAAACAATAAATTTAAATGAAGATGTAAAGTTAAACACATCACATATTATGTTATTAAATAATAAGATATCGATTGTTATAATTTGTTCTTATTTATAGTTTTGATATTTTGAAAATCAAAAAAAAATTTTTTTTCGTGCTTTATGGAGTATTTAATAAGTGTTAAATATGATTTCAATTTTTCTGCTGAATTATTGAATAGGAACTAAAAATTGAAAATTTATACTAGTATAAATAAAAAAGTAATGAATTTTTGATCCCTCAAATTTTTAAACAATAATAAAACTATATCATTGATATAGAACAAACACAAATTTATCTATATACAGAAAGATGAGTTCAAAATTGTATAGTTGTAACACAAATATATCATGACAATTTGCAATTAACCTTTTATAGGAGATCGCATGATTTGAAAAAAAAAAGATATTTATTTGCGTTTCTTCCCATTAAAATCAAAAAAAATAATCTATCGAATAAATATGTATCGTATTAGGTAATTTCCTCTTTCTTATTATGGTTTAAAATATTTTCAAGTTGTTTTTACAATTGAAGTTGTTTCTTTTTCCTTTTTTTAAAAAAAAAAGTGACGCAAATCAATACCTGGTGAAGACCGGAGCATACATCAATGATGTTTCCTTGTCCAAGAAAGGATTTATTTGGCCAGGGTTAGTTTTTTTTTTCCCTCATTATTTTTGTTCATGTTATGCTTTCAACATGTCATTTTCCTTACTAATTTAATAATAATAATAATAATAAAAATATGAACTTAATTGTAGTCAACGATCAACTTTTGTTGATCTCACACCAGCGAATTATACATTGCAATTACAAGCAATGAGTGCCGAAAAGTTAGAATTCAATTTACCGGCCGTATTCACAATCGGTCCAAAAGATGAACCAAAATCCTTAGAAAGATATGCGAAATTATTAGCAAATGACAAAAATAGTGATGATGTTAAAGATTTAGTTAGAGGTATCATTGAAGGTGAAACTAGAGTTATAGCAGCCGCCATGACCATGGAAGAAATGTTTAGAGAAAGAAGAGAGTTCAAAGAAAAAGTGATTAAGCAAGTTCAAGCTGAATTGGATCAATTTGGTTTGTTAATTTATAATGCAAATGTTAAACAACTTCAAGATACTCAAGGTTCTGAATACTTTGCTTACATGGTAAGCATAAAAAACTTTTGATTTTGACGGAAATTCATTTATTTTGATGTACCTTTTGTTTGATTTAATCAACCAATTTGATTTTAGCGCATGAAAACTCACGAAGGAGCCGTAAATCAAGCAAAAGTTGACGTAGCTGAAGCTAAATATAAGGGTGACGTTGGTGAAAAGGAACGAGAAGGATTGACCGTAAGTTAGATAATTTATTTTCTTTCATATGGTATGGTCAGTATTTATAATGATACTTTTTTTCATTGTTATTTTCATTTAGAGAAGAGAAACTTCAAAGATCGAAGCAGAAACTATTCTAATTGAAAATGAACGTAAAGCATCTGTTGCGGAAGCAGAAATGACTTTAGCCACAAAAAAATCCGAATTTGAAAAATCAACAAAAATAGCAGCAATTGAAGCAAAACAAGCGGCAAAGATACGAGATTCTGAACTACAAAAACAAGTAGAAGAACGTAGATTATTATCCGAGACAGAACGTCTACGTGTACAATATGTTGCCAAGGCTACGGCGGAATTTGAAGCAGCCAAGGCGAATGCCAATGCTAAGCTTTATGAAAAACAAAAAGAGGCCGAAGCAGAACTCTACAAACAACAGAAAGATGCGGAAGGGATATTGGCGGTTTATAATGCTCAGGCTGAAGGTATTAAAAATTTGATGCAAGCTTTTGGTGGGGAAAGAAATGCCGCTCTTCAATATCTTATGATTGAACGTGGGGTATACAAAGAGTTGGCAAAAGAAAATGCTAATGCCATTCAAGGACTAAATCCTAAAATTACCGTTTGGAATACCGGAGAACAAGGCGGACAATCTTCCATGAATCCTGTATCAAATATTTTCCAATCTTTACCCCCTCTCTTATCTACCGTTCAAGAACAAACTGGTATTATTCCACCAAAATGGTTGGCAAATATGCCAAATGAGTCTGATTCTTAAAGATGAACAGTACAATTATTTTTTTTGTAAGAAAATGAAATAGGATCAACGAATTTGCTGGTAAATTATTATAAATAGTATATTTTAGGTCTACTGACCTTTCCATATATGTTATTTTTTAATTTCTATTAATGAATGATATTTAATAATTTTTATAAATATTCATTCAGTGTGAATATGAGCAATTTATTTTTTAGAAAAATTTAAAAAACACTAAGAATCTCTCTATTATATTGAAGATTAAGGGACGAATAAAATGAGCATTACGTTTTATATGCGAAATTAAGTAAATTATTTCGGCATAATTGAGTGAATAAGAATTAAAGAATTAGTAATCAAAAATATAATAGGTAAAAATTCATGTTCTCAAGGCTCTAATAATCCATACGGACCCACACATTTTAATACCGAGAATGATTTCCGAAATGTTCTTCAAGGGCAAAGATTTACATTCCTTGATGAAACACCAATTAATTTTCTCCCTTCTAAGTATATGGGTTGAAAACGTAATTTATCCTGTTACTCTTAATGTTAGTTGCGTACCCTAATTGCCCGGGAACATTTTCATGACCATAATGGCGAATTGTTGAATTTATGAATAATGAACTCTTGCATGATTATTCAATTGTGTCATCAATTTTAGAATGATCCAAAATTAGGCTATAATGTATTTGTACAGGATTGTTTTCTAAAAGCTATAAAACCAAAACCCTAAAGGAATCAGAAGAAACGTTAAAAGGTTGGATTAAAAAGCGTTTATTAACTGGTAATAAATTGGTATCATAAATTCCAGTCATAATCCCTCAATGAATTTTGCAACTCGATCCATTTCAGCACGTCGACATCATGGGTCTATTCTTTTCCATAATTCTTCCATGGCTGCATTATATTCCTCAATGGTTTCTCCTGATTTTGTTTTCGATATCTCGGAGACAGACGAAAAATTAAAGAAATTGAAAGAGGAGTCGAGAGCGCTTATTAACTGGACTGAACTAACAAAGTGATTTGCATCGTACGAAGTAGACGAAAATTTAATGTTTTTTTGAATAAGATTCAAAATGAATCTCTAACGCAAAATCAGATGGTAAAGCTATTGATTTTATGGTTTATTTCATGGACTAAATAACACTAACTGAGGAATTAAACAGATACATTAAGCCAGGAATGACAAATGGTCAATAATTTGAGAACTACATGTCTTTTAAATGGAGTTTTTGGATTAAACGTGAGAAGTAGGGATAGAATATTTATAACTCGAGTGACATTAATGACAATATGTTATGTTACGTTACATACTTGGTAGGGCATTGGCCGATTTCGTTTCCTGGCATATATTTTAATGTCCTCGTTATGATTTTTTTTAATTTCTATTTGATTAAATGCTTTTTTTTCTTGTTTTGAGGTAACATTCGTCAGTCTAGTCTATATTACGTCCATTCTACATTTTTTTAGCTTTGTTACCTTCGATAACATTTGAAAGAATAATTATTCCCAACAGCTGTTTAATTATTGCGACATTATTTAGAAATGACTACAAGTAAAATATTTTGCATATTGTAACTTACATATATCTATTCGGTAAATTAATATTGAAAAAATATTATTATTTTTTTTTTTGGTGAGGATGTAGAAATAATCACATGCGCTTACACATGTGATAATGATAATTATTATATTAAACCTAATGGAGCACATACAGTAGTATTTCATCAATTTATTTTATTTAATCACGTATTATGCAATTTTAAGGGTCCAAAAATTAAAAAATAATAACATTCATTCCTTTCAAATAAGGTATTTTAAGAAGAAATCTGGACAGTTTATTGTTGACAAAGATAATATATCTTTACAAAGCTTATGGTTTATTCCTACATGGAACAAATTAAACAGTGCGGCTTATTTACAAAAAAGAAAACTTTTTTTTTTTTGGACGTTAACGCTTGATTTTACTAGAAATTTGTTTTTGCAGAGTCCAAAAATGATGTTATGAAAACAATCCTCCCCTACTCTCTAAACTACCTCAAACAATATTCCCACCTCAAACATAAAAATATTTGGGTAAAAATATAATTTGTTGAATTTTAACCAATAGTAAAAAATTTTTTGCTATGTATATTTTTTAAAATTGGGCTTGGTTTATTACGATCCAAAAGTTCGACAGTGAAATACATATGGATAAAATTTTTTTATTTATTTTATTTTTTTATAACTTAACGTAAATACTAGAAAAGATTCGCTTCGTTAATTTTCTTTCCAAATATCGTCAAGAAATCATCAGGACGAGTATAGTTCATCCGCTGTTGGGAATAACGTCTACACATCAACAAGAAAATTTCTTAAAAAGGAAGTTTCGTTTCCATATTTGGTCAGCACATTGTAGATTTATTTGCATTTTCTATAAAATTCAAGAATAAAATATAAATAAGCATATAAAAAAAATATTACGAATATATAAATGGATAGAGAAGGATTTGGGTGGAAAATATATTGCGCCCACCAAAAAAAAATATATATATATATACAGTGAGATCTCTCTAAATGTATTCCTTTGGGACCGACCATAGTGTGCATTTAAAGAGGGTGTGCATTTAAAGGGAGAAATTTTGTATGATCTTTATATACTTGAGGCTGTGTGGAGCGTGCATTTATAGAAAAAAATATATAATGCGTGCATTTAGGGAGGGAGCATTTAGAGGGGTCTCACTGTATACAGTCAAAGCTCGTTATAGTGAATCTCGTTATAGTAAAATCACGTTATAGTGAATTATTTTTAATTCACCAAATCAATTTTTTATAATAAATTTCTCTCGATATAGTGAACTCTTAATAAAATCTCATTATAGTGAACAAAAATGATTAGAACCAAGAGTTCACTATAAAGAGCTTTGACTGTAAATATATACATAAAATGTTGCGGTTAGCTCAGAAAATGCAATTTCTTTGTTAATATCATCATAAAGTAAATGTCGAAAATAACCGAGTTGTCTAGCTATTACTGTATATTACAATATAATTTTATAATGAAAATTTAACACCAAATTATCCGATATTTTAGTCAGAAAGCTTTCATTGTTAATAAATTTCCAGATTATTTTTTTTTTTTTTTTTTTGATCCATTTCATTTTTTGCAATAGTAAATTAAATTAGGCATTGTTTCTATATCAACCTTTATTTAAAAAGTGCTTTAACAAAAACAAATTATAACCAATTGATCATGTATTATATATTAAAGGGATCCGTTTCATATCAGAAATCCTGAAATAATAAATAAAATATGTAAAACCAAATTTGCCTTCATTAAATATCACAACTAAATTTTGGATCTATTTTAACATAATTCGTGAAGATTTATATGTTAATATATTTTGTCAAAAACAAATAACAAATAAATTAAAAATAATTTTGTATATTACGATGTAATTTATTTAAAGATTATCGCTTTGTTCTTTTGTTATGAATTCATATAAATTTCGCTTTTTTGAAGCATTTATGATCGAATTAGAACTATTTAAAGGCTTATTAACATAGATTACCTTTGATTTCTAATATTTAACGAGTTTGGTTGCCTAAAATATTAAGAAAATATGCTGTATTTAAACATTATCGGTACGAAAATTTTTAATATTCTGCATATTATGAATATTATTTATATCAAAATCAAACTCTCTTGAAAAATATTCTAAAAATATGTTTATGTTAAATTGTTTTTAATTAGAATTTCTGTTATTGAAGTCACATTCAGTTGAATTAAAGCATACCTTGATTTGTAATAGATGAAATTGTTAACGACGATGTACTAGTAGAAGAAGTTTTAAAAGTCATAGAACTTAATGCTCTACTCGTATAAATTGCTTTTGGATGAGGTTTTTCACTAAATTCTGGACCAAGTTTCATAGATTGTATCAATTCCAATCTTTTCTCTTCACATCGTTTAATTATTTCATGTTCATTATTACATTTTAAAAAAAAACAAGGATCATATAAGTTATCGAATTTGTCCTTAATTTCTGCAATTAAAGGCCTTTTTGAAGGATCAGGATCCCAACATCTTTTCATTAGATTAGCATAGAAATCAGGAGTATCCTGAGTAATATCAGGTCGCTTTCCGTCAATAATTTGATAAATTAGGTTATGATCATGTTCAACATAATCAAAAGGTTTACGACCTGACGTTAATTCCCACATAACCATACCGAAACTATAAATATCAGATTCTTTTGAAAAATTAGCGCCATTTAATACTTCAGGTGCAATATAAGGTATAACACCATATATTTCATTATTTTGCGAGCTAACATCTGCAGGTTGTGATAACCCTAGATCTCCAATATGACAATTTAGATACATATCGTCGTTTAATAATAAGTTTCCGCTATGAATATCTCGATGTATAATATTTTTTTCATGAATATTACGCAGCCTAAAAATAAAAGAGTATAATACAATACATTAATTGAATTTAATAAACATTAATAATGTATTAAAAGTATAAATACCCTGATGAAATATCGTATACAATATTTAATTTATGTGACCATGTAATAGATTTAAAATGTTTTTGCAAATAATTATGCAAATCACCTGTTTTTGCATACATCATTATTAACATAAACTCCTTTGTATTGGGATCTTGGGTAATTCCATAGCATTGAATGACCTGGCTAAATTCTTCGGTATCGTTACAATGATATAACAATTTTAACTAAATTATAAAAATAGATAGCAAATAATTAGTGAAGAGAAATGTACTTTATATAAGTGAAATTTAAATAATTACCTCATTTAAAAAACATTTGCCAATACTTTTAGAATAGAATCGTTTTATCGCAACTTCTTCTTGATTTAATACAGCTCGATAAACAATGCCAAATCCTCCTTCTGCTATTTTTTCCAAACTTGTAATTGCTGAATAAGGAACCCATTCGATTCGTCTATAATGATTTAGAACATAGCTCTTATTTGTAAATATATTATTTATAACTTTATTAGCCATGTTGTGACTTCTGTTAAAGTTTGTATCATAAAGAAATTCATCTATTAAATTATTTCCACTGACAAAATTTGTGACATCAATTGTAATTAATACAACTCTCTTGCATTTTTTACACTGAGATTTGTCGGTAATTCCAATAATTACATTTGTTGTTAAGCAATATCTACATCCTGTATATATTACAAAACAATTTGAACACCACTTTTGACAATCCGTTACAATAATTAGTTTATTTGTACATAATATACAATCAAAATTGATATACCACCATGGCATATAAAATATCGGAATTGATTTTTTAATAACTGTTGATTCTGTCCATCCATTAGAAATTACGTAACAATCATGACATGAAGAATTATCAAGTAAATATTTTCCACATAACTGACATACGTTTAGATAATTTATAAAATATCCAGTATCAGTTATTTGTCTAAAGCATAAAATCGAGCAATTTAGACACCACTCTTGAATATTATGTGTTGTAAAATCTAACGTTCTTGTTTCATGTTCCCTACACTGAGTGTTATTTGTACCTATAATAACATCCAAATATATACTATTATCAGTTAAATACTTAATATAACAAGTTAAGCAACTTTTACAATATTTTATAAATTCAAGTGATCGAGAAAATTCATGTCCACAATAATTGCATCTGTTGTCGTAACAGCAGAAGGAAATAAACAAAATTGGCACAGGGCTGGATTTTAATTTTGGAGTTGGGTCAAGCGTCTCAATTTTCGTAAGTTCCATTTTAATTTGAAAGATTTTTATTGATAAATATTTCCTACATTCTTCAGTAAGTTTAACCTTAAATTAACAAGATTGACGGTCACACAAATTAGAAATTTAAATCTAAAAAGGTCAAATTGCCGATTTCACTAATTTACCCCCAGGCTCTGATTGGTTAATGGGATAAAGCTTCCGATTAGTTGATTTCGTTACGCAATCTCACGTGTTCACCAGCCTACCCGTCAAATTTTAGTGTCAAATTTCCCGTACCTCCTAACATACGTCAATTTTGACCATTGTAAAACTTTTGATTTATAACTAGCATTTTTTTAAGGAATACCGGCGACCGGGTATATAGCAATCACGTATAGGATGGTTTTATGTATGGAACGTATGGATTTTTTTACCATGTAATTATTTCCATACATGTATACATGTAGTATTTATTATTGTGGCCAATTTTGATCAATATTTATGAAAAATTAATTTATGTAAAGTTTACCGTTTAAAGATGTGATAATTAATGCATTTATAGTTTTAGGAATTCGAGTCCATATGTAACTAACTGTCAAAGGAAATTTAATTTAAAATAATTGATATTTACTTTTAGTTAGGCAAAATTTTAATTTATATAAATATAAGTTTTATTTATTTTCAATTTTTTTTTTTTTTTATAAATTTGAAAATTTAATAAATTTAATAATAAAGATATTTATATTTTATAAAATAGAAAAGTTGCTAAAATTTATGAATAATAAGAAATTTAATATTTGGGAAAATCTAGAACATGGTAACGGTAAATATATCAATTTTTTGCAGTTAAAATGTTACGGAATTAGTTAAAAGGAAAAGGAAATAAATACACAAAAAGTAAAATTATTTCTATATTGTCCTTCCCTAATTTTTTAAAGATTTAATCAAAGAATATCTAATCGCGATTTACTGCGCTCATTTTTCTTGTGTTTTTTCATTTATTACTTTATTATGTCTCAAGTAAATCCAGTTATTCTTTCAGATATCGAAACTATATCTGATAATGAAACTATATTTGATGATCTTCTGAACTATTAAACGAGCAGGTTTGTGTTTATTATCTCATTTTTTATTATTATAATAAATAAAAATATTAATTTTTAATTTTAATAATTATTTAGAATAATGATGAAGAATATGAACAAATAGCTTTTTTTACAAAACAAACATCTTTCTGTTTCAGAAATCATTCATATAGCATTTCCTATCGAATATCCACAACAAGGAGTAGCCACTATTTTCAATATTACCGGCTGGTCAAATTCAATGGCTGTTTTACTAATATAAGAATCAAATATTTATATTAATTATTTATAATCATATTAATTTATTTTATTTAATATAGATTCAATATTCTATTTATGGAATTGGTGGAGCTATTCAAATTAAAAACTGTTTTTTTTTGGAGTATCAGTCAAGAAAGTTGTACGAAAATGTCAAGGAATCAAGCATTGTAATTTTACTGATCCTGATTTTATTAATAAATAACATAATGAAGTTGATATATAATCTGAAAACTTTGTTAAATTCAATCAATTTCAAAATAGGAATAATAAAAAAACTAAAGCTTATGCGTAAGCTATCCCTTCAATGGTTTTCCTTTCAAATTTAGAAGGAATTTTACTTACACTTTCAAGTTAATTTTAAATATATAAAAATTAGTTATTAAGCTAATAATATTATTATAATAAAATTTATGATGTTTTTTAAGTAAAATAAAAATAAAAAATTATATTAATTAGTAACTTTTTTGCATTAATTTAAGTTCAAAGTTTTAAAAATATACTAATAAAAGTATTTTCTTTATAAAAGCTAAAATTTTTAATTTTTATTTATTTTTATATTATTAATAAAACTTTACAAAATATATAAATTTATATTTAAAACATTTATTTATGGAAACGTTTCCAGTGTTTCTAGTAAAATCAAGTCATGAGGCATAGTAAATCATATGATCCGTAATGTGATTTTACTGGAAGCACTCCCATATTTTAACTAAAAATTAAAAAAAAATTGTAAGTTTTTATGTAGAATTTTGCATAATAATTGATTAAAAATCATAACTAAATTTAAATGAAAATCATTATCATTTAAGGAATAGCTAAAATATAACCGATTTTTTATTAACTAATTCAATTTATGTTTACTTAATTAATTAAATGAATTTAAGCTGATTGTATCAAACATATCAAATAATTATCAATCGTTAATGTCAATGTTTATCTGTATGACATCTAAATTGAATAACATCAGTTATAACTAAAAATTCTGATTGTTTTGGCAATAATCAGTAGAAATTAGACTATATTTTGACCAACATTCAGCACTTTAAAAAAGTGATAAAATGGATTATTTTGACTAGTATACAAAAAACTCTTTATTCTCGTTGGATTTTTTCCAAGAATTTTTACTTTAAAGTATCTGTTCAACAGTGGCTGCGGCTTACCCTGCGAACAAAACAAAAAATCTCACCTTTCAAAAATATTCCTCTTTTTATTCCTCACACCCCTCTCTATATAAAAATTTTCGAAATAGTCTAAATTGTGTTGTTTTTTGTTAAAATATTTTTTCTTCACCCCTTTTTGAAAAATTTTTTCTGATTTTTTTCTCTTTTTCTTTTTTGCCTACAAAAAATGGTCATCAATAGGTATTTGAATTAACGATCATGATCGACATACTTTGGATAAACAAATCTTAAGTGATGATCCCCTTTTTCTTTCTAAATAATACACTCTCTTTTGATTGGCCTCTGCCTTTCTGCAGATCCTCTGTCGTTAAAGATCACGTGCAAATTTAGCGACCTTATTCTACATGATGTTGTGAAGCTTACTTTCAAAATGATCCTAATCCCTTAGTTTGGTTGACGTCTGAAAAACTGTTGATTCTTTCCTTGTCTTGGCTGGCTGGCTTAATTCGGTTGGTAGTAATCCAAAGTAATTTCACCCTTAGATTCTTTCTCGCTGACCTTTTATGAATGTAGTTTAATTTCATAGTGGATTTCTCATGATATTTTTTCATACTTATGAATCTATAAGTATGAAGAGCCTTTGTTTGGACCTAGTTACTTGGACGCACCTTTTTCTGCTAGGTAGTCACTTTAAGCTGGAATTGACTGAACTTTAACTAGAACTTATAAAGTTATTTTTTTTATTTATTAGTAAATTTCTATTTGTGCTAATTCCCTACTTCAGATGTTGTTTTTAGTATTAGATTTTTCTTTTGAGGGAAGTTAAGGTTTGACGGACATTTAGAAATTAGATGCTTACTGACACTTTATTTCCACCCCTTTGGGGTGGCAGTAATCAGTCGACTCAAATGAGTTTGAAATAGAACTATGGGGAGAAGGGTAAGTTGTGTATTTTAGTATTTTTTTTAGGTTTTTCTTTCAATTTACAATACAAAATAAAGTACTATGGCTAGACTGCATCGTTAACAAAAAAAAATTATTTTGACTAGTGTACAGCTATTATGCAATATAATTTTATTTTATTTATAATTTTATTTTTATTATATTTTATTTTTAGAGGTAGGCAGTTAGATGAAAAAATGTTTAAAATAATGAAAATTCATAAATTTGGAGTTCCTTATACTAGAAAAAATAAATTGAAATTAAAAGAATAGTTATAGCTATAAAGTGAAAAGGTAATTAAAAAAATATTTATTTATTATATTTTTTATAAAAAAAATAAAATTAATATCTAATTTAATAGAAAATAATAAAAGAAATCAAAAGAAACATATAAGGAAGAAATCAATTAGTTTATTATTATTATATTATAATTACTTATATCTTATTATTATTCATTTATCAATTTTTAAATTAGACAAAGTATTAATTTATAATATAACTAATCAGAGGAAGTTAGATAAAAAGGAAATAAAAAGAAAATTATTGTTAAGCAAAAATACTTTAAAAGTTAAAAAAGTTAGAATTAATATTAGTGATGATAAACAAAAAAATGATTCATTTGAAATTCAAAGAAATCACAGAATTTTAGAAATTAAAATTAAAGAGTGTAAAATATAGTTAGCTGAAAGACAAATAGCAAATCATAAGACTTAAGCAAAAGTTAAAAAATTGGAATTAGAAATATAAAATTATGTAAAGAATTAAATAGTTATTAATATAGTAGCTTTATTTGACTAATTATCATTACGAATTAAGAATATCTAATTATAATAAAAATCTGATTACATAAATGATTAACAAATATCACATCATTTTAAAATAATATAAATAATAAAAGTTCTATTTTAATTTACTATATAATAAATAAAGTTTAATATATTATACATTTTAAAATTAGGTAATGATAAATATATTATAAATTCCTGTTTAGATTTAAAATTTGAAAAAATCATATATGTATGAAAATCATTAGTTTATAAAAAACCATATATTCTATACATAGAAACTATCTTATATAAGTTTTTGTAATACCTTTAGTGACCAAAGGTCACTGGGTCTAAATTACAGTAGCAATTCCAGCTATAAAACTTATTAATTATTATTTAATATTAAATGTAATAAAAAAACTAAAAACTAATAAGTTAAGTTGCAATTTATTAAAAAAACAATTCGAAAATTACAAATAATTACAAATAATTTGATATAACATAAAAAAAATTAAAATTTAATTTGTTTTTTGAATCATATATTTGATGTAAATCAAAATATTTTCAACTTCTTGTTATTCACTTCTTTAATATTTTTAAGCCTTGCAGTTCTTAATCATTTTATTTGAATATCTTATCTCTTCTTATTTTTCATTCTGTAACAATAATAGCAAGATATTCTTACAATTTTACTATTTCAACATTTTTACCATAAATTTCACCATTTTCTTAATTTATAAAATCATTATGAGAACTAAGAATTATGAGTTTTAGATTCTGTAAGAATAAAGTTTGAAAATGATTGTTGATAATTTTTTCCATTATTATCATTCATGTGAAATTGAATTAATATAGCAAAAATATGTTTGCATAATAATTATCTTATTTTAAAATCATGATAAGTACAAACATATAAAGAAATATCCATTTCATTATTATTATCTATAGAATCTTTTTTGAATAGAATATTTAATACTAGAAAACGTAAACCGTTGTGAGTTCAGAGTGAAGTATTTTTGTAGATTAGAGTTTTGAACTTTATTGAATGTAATACAATAGATAGAATAGTGAATGTAACACAATAAATATGTAAAAAAAATATATTAATAAAAGTATCAGTATCACGTGATTGGAACATTAACAATAATTATAACGAAATAGTAGAATCTAACTAATTATTGCAAAACAAACTTCGTTATTTTTAGAAAAATTTTTTTTCACACTTATCATGTACTTCATGTAACACATTATGTAACACCTTTATCTTATGTTTATCACAGATTTGTTTATCAGTATAGCACAAAATTTCAGTGACGTGATGCGTGCGGACAAACGGACTTCATCACGTGATATGGTTAAACTTAACATTTACAAACATATATAGTCCTCCGCTTCACTCCAGACAATTATTATTTGTTATAGAACATATAATCCAAATATTTAGCTGAATGCTGTAAATATTTATTTGATTTATATATGTCAATCCTATAATCTCGTGAATACACTATTATCATTGTTTATGATTTATTTGCCTGATTTCTAATTTATTCAAAAAATTTGAAAAGTTTAAATCTTGAAATACAATTTCTATAAGAAGATATACTTCACTATCAAGTCTACACTTTAGACGTTCTCTTATATAAGTATATTTCAACTTACAATGGAATGCTTCAATTAAATTGTTTGTATTCATCATATTTCTAGAAATATTCTGATAGCAAATTATCCATTTTTCATATTTTGGCTTCCACCATCTCTTAAAATAATTTGCAAAATTATTTATTGTTTCAATATTCATTTTCTCACTATTTATCAATAGTATCTAAAATTTGTTTTCATGCTTTTGCATTATTTTATCCTTCTATCTTCATTAATAGCCAAAGATCTTGCCAAACTATTTTTTTATATGAGTCATTATGTTTATGACATAATTTTCTACGTCAAAATCACAATACATAAAAATGGCATAGAAATATAGAAGTATCTGGCAAATTCTCTTCAACTACCTTATTTTTTTTTCTGCATCATCAATCATAAAAATATTTGGATTTCATCTCTCATGCTTATTCTCATTTTTCAAGTAATTTTTTAATATCGCTAATTGTTTAAATTCACTTATTAAAAATGCTATTAAATACCACTTCCCATTATTGGATGTTGTAAAACCATTAAAAAAAATGATATCTATATGGATTCATCCTATATATACTATCTGAACACAAAACCTTTGAAAATTTTATTAATTCTTTTTAGCCTTTTGTTTGAAATGCAAACATAAAGCCTAAATCATTCATTTTATTATGAAGTTCAAATAAGTAATTTCTATCAGCATTGATTAGTTTTTTTTACCAGTGTTATAAAGATATTATTTCATTATTATCAAGATAAGCAAATGATTTCATTATATTATAGACGATTGCATATTGTTACCCAACTAATAATTAGGCGGACTAAAACACGTAATCAATTGAGTAGCAGTAAGATTTAGCTCAATCTTTAGTAAGTTTTGGGAGAGACTTCGGTTAATTCGGGCTATTGTTGACTTTAATATTCTTTCACAATTAAGTTTCAGAATTGGCAAGTATGACAACTTCCAGTTCTTCACATTAGATAAACAATTTCTTTTAATGTAGAAAATTCTCAGTTGACGTTACAAAGTTTATTTGTAACCAAGTAAATAATGTTTTAAGTAATATAAAGATTACTTAAACCTAGATGACAAAAAGCAGGGTTAATAATGTTAAGTATTTACAATTATTTAACCAAGGTTTTACCAAAGCGAGTTGATAATGTTAAGTAATCTAATATTACTTAACCAAAGTTGATACAAAGCAGGTTTGACACAAAGCAATTTGATAATGTTAAGTAATCCAATATTACTTAACCAAGGTTGACACAAGTAGATTTGACACAAAGCAGTTTGTTTATTATGAGACAATTTAGCAAAGAGTTTTTATTATCTGATAAAATTAATTTTCTAAATTTCTATTGATACATAATGAAAAACTCAGCTTATTTATAATGAAATTTCTACACTAAATTGCTATCTATTGCATAAAAACTATGTAATGATTTCCTCATCTTTTATATGTAATGTTGTTATAATAATTGAGTAATGACTACCTAATCACTATATAATAGTCTTCTAACTATGTTATATATATTTAAAGAGATGTAAAGAATATAATTATATTGTTCTTAAATTATTACTACATTTTTATACTTAGTCTTTGACTAGTTTTTTCTTGAAGTTCCTATTTGGAGTTTCTAGTTTAGAAGGTTATGCGTGTCGTTATGGGCTAATAATCTATTACTTCATTTCTTCATTAACCGATCTAGTTAATTCTACAGATCACTTTGGAAGATCATTAGGTCATTGATTTTGTAGATCAATTCACATAATGATAGTTTGTGAATCACTTTTACTGTGCTATATTTCCAATTTCTTGAAGATCATTTGAGTTATAATATATATCATTTTGTGTTATAATCATCTCACAATATTTGAATATCTTGCAAATGATGTGAATAATTATCTTTTTTATAAGATTATGAAGTTCAATTGCTCTAAATCGCAAAAGTTTTGTATACTAATATTATCAAGTTCTTCAAGAATACGCTATTGAATAAAATGTCGAATATTTTTAGAAAGACGTAATGAATATAAATCTTCTAAATATCTAGAATTATAGTTAATAATTTTCTAAAAATGTTTTAGAATTATTGTTAATGAGTTAATAGAAAGTATAACATGAATTTTACTTTTGTAACTATATTTCTTTGTTTCCTTTTATGCTAATCATGACTTTTTATTTGAATTGTATCTAGCAATACTAAGGTATTTACCATAATGATAACAATATCATTATTCTGTCTATTGGTATTTTTTTATATTACTACCTAATTGGTTTTAACAATCATGTCTAACATATTTGAGTCCTGCCTTTTCAAGACTTTTGATCCAATTTATATAGTCTTTTACTGAAAGAGAATGAGTTTTAATCTTTTCATTATCATGCATATTTTTAGATATTATATTGTCATTCTTAACTGCTTCCCATATATAACCAACATCATCAGTCGCATCTAGGATTAAGTCAAGAAAATTGTCAACACTTACATCCATATTTATATTTGTTTCTTTATTAATATCAAAAAATACATTGATATCAGAAAGCATTGATATAATTAATAGTTAATTAAAAAAAATGTAAAAAAAGGCTTTAAAGACATAATAAAAGCTTCGTTATGATAATTAGGATTCCTCAAAATCGAATCAAATCAAATATTTAAGCAATTTGAATTTAATTTGATTTTTTCAAATTGAATTAAATTGAATTGAATTGAAATTAAATATTTGATCGAATCAATTTGAATCAATTTGAATTTGATCAAATCAAATCAAATTGAATAAAATATTTGTCAAATCAAATCAAATCAAATCAAATATAAAATTTTTTTTAATTTTTATAATGATATATTAAAATAAAGTTATTCTAAAGTTTTAATTAAAAAAATTATTAGTAATTACACTAAAAA